GGGTAGCCTATTCAGCTACGCACGTGTAAAAAGTGTAAAATATTTTCGCCGACTTACAGACTTTAGGGTAGGCTTAATTGCCTATACCTAAACGTCTGTAAGCGGTCAATGCTATTTCCTACCAACGCTGCGAGCCACGTACCGCTACATATTAAATACATATATTTATTCCTGGCTCTCGATTACTCAAGATCCACCTTTTCATTATCTATACTATAGTAATCTTATAATATTAAATTTGATTCGAATCGATTATGTAAAATGTATTACATAACAATATGACATCTGAGTTTTTGTAGTGTTATAAGTTGATTTCACTGGAAATTGTCGTCCGCCCGATTCAATCTTCTGAAAATTAGCCGGTACACAACGTGGAAATTGAATTTGAGATTCTGGGGAGTTGGGTTGACGTCGTGTGTTTGGAATGCGGTGCATTGAGATTTTATGGGAAGTATCTTCTGTTGTTGGTGGAGTTTGGCGTGTAGTTCAATTAGGCATGTAATAAAATGTAATAAAATGAACCGGCGTAAATAGGTGAAGGTTTTACGGCACTTTAAGCGGAACGAGCTGCAGCTGAATGCTAGACGAGCACAATGAAATAGATAGGAAATGACTTCATTAAAGGTGGCCCGTGCATCTTAGGCTTTAATGAGGAAACCGCACGCTCCGCTCACGAATTCTAGATAAATTTTATCGCCGCTGCAGGTATCAGGCATTCTAAGTCCGGGAATCTTGGTTTACGGGGATACCGTGTAATAAAGTCATCTCTGATCTACTACGAGTGCCCGTAAATTTAATTTGAAACCCTGTCGACCGACTCGATTATGGGAATCATGTTTCCGATATAAAGGTTCCAGCAATTCACTGTGCGTCGCGCATAGAGAACGCGACACCGGATTTTAGGTGAAATCTTCGTGGCCTGTTATTTGTTGTTTGATTCCCACATATTTGCCGTGCGGATTTGTACATATATATTACATTCGTTAGTTTGCCCTACTTCGTTCTATTAATTTTGATCATAACTATTCAATCAGATCAAACGTCGACCAATTTAGTGTCATGAATAAACAAACGTGCAGGTTATTTAGCGAACTAATGGTGTATCATGACAAACAATTTGCATTTGTTAACGCATTATTCTAATAGAATTTCATATCTCATTATCCCAGAATTAGTCATTAACAGTCACAACGATAAATGAATTCATAATCTATACTTCTAGTGACACGAAAAGTTCATTAAAGGTATCACAAACAATTCACAGATGGTATAAAAGGATTTTCATAGGTTGCCCCATGAATACTTGACTTGTACTACTGTGGCCACCTGTTTACCACCATGACAAACAACTAACATTTGTTAACACACTATTCTAATAGAATTTGATATCTCATTAGCCCAGAATTATCTCTATATTCAAGATAGATTTCTTTAAATATAAAATTGAATATAAAAACCTTTAAACAATCGAATTCAACGAACGAGAATTCAAAATCTATACTTCTACTGACACGAAAAGTTCATTAAAGGTACCACAAACAATTCGCAGACGGTACAAAAGGATTTTCATAGGTCGTCTGATAAATGCTTGACTTGTACTACTGTGGCCACCTGTTTACCACCGCCCGGCCGAATTCTTTCACGGAAATCCGACTGTCATCGATTCCGAGTGGCACGAAAAGCCACATTCCGCGAACTCGCGGCAAGGAAATATAGATTACCGGGTGGCATTAACTTCGAGCTGCGGCTGTTTGCTCGCGATATTTCAAAAGCACGACGATCGGAATCCGGTCGCGGGCGTTTCCGCATTCCTCGCGTCCGCGGTCGCCGGAAACGACACGTGACAGGAACTCCTCGAGTTTTGCATAAACATCGCGACACACCGGCCTTTTCCGGTCATCGATCAAACATCGAATGCGTGGACCGTCGTACAAGGTCAACAAATCACTAGCCACTTGACTGTGTTTGCTAGCCAAATTTTCGCCGCGAGCAGAGCGTAGACAAATATTGCTTCATGTATACTCGATTTCAACCTCGTTGCACTGGAACGTGGAAAAATTATGTTCACAGTTCACTCGGAATGTAAAATATAAATTATTGTATTTCAAAGAATTACTGTATTTCAAAAAAATCTTCAGGAATCGGAATGTTCTGATTTCAAGGAAGTGATAGAAATATTTTGGAACAATGTTTCTATAGCTGAATCGCTGCAATTATCGTTGATTTTTATAACAATATTTACGTTACTATGCGAGATAGTTGGCAAACAATTTCCGCAAGTGTTGTTTACGCATTTTATCGAGTGCCATCGAATTCCGTTTATCGAAGCGAACGAAACGTTGCCAGAAATGCTCGGAACGCTGCATAATTGTAAAGAATGTATCGCAATCCGATTGGGATCGCTTCAAGAGCGACGCAATAAATATCGGGGAAAAAATGAACCGACACTCTTGAAACGGAGCGATAAACAATTTCGAATGATCGCTTCCGCCTCGCGCTAAACGGATCCATCGAGCGCTAAGTCGCCGGTGTACCCGACAATAGGATGCGAACGCGATAACAAGTGCAACGGCGAGGGGGCAAGTGAAAGCTAGCGAGCCTCGAATGGGGAAAATTTGTTAAAACCGATTCCGGGACGAAATAAAACGAGCCACGGCCCGTCGATATTCCAGCCAGTGAAATATCGATAGGTCAGCGACGCGCGGGCGATACTGAAGCTTCAACGAAACGCTTGCGGATAAAAAGCTGACTCCATCGGAGCATTTATTTAACGTATCTTCCGAAACCCGAAAAAAAAGAGGGAAAAGGAAAAAATCGGGAAAAATGGAAACCTGTTCGATTAATATTCCACCGCGGCGAAGTTAATAATAACTCGAAATAAATACGCATAAGAGATTTTCCCAATAACGTTGTACGCGGAATGTGATAATTTGTCAAAGTGATCAACTCCGGGGTAAATAAAAAAATCGAATGAATTTGAATCCGTATGGACGAAATTAAATATTTGTTATAAAATCAAAATTGCCGGAAGTTTGCAGAGCGGAGTCTGTTATATTGTATAGCGAGTCATTCGGGAGATCCATTGAGGAAAGTGTCAAGTTTTCATGTCGATGTTGCTGAGGAGAAAGCATGTACATTAGATAGAGCAGAGAGAGAGAGAGGGAGAGAGAGAGAGATCGGTTCGTATTAATTCGAAAGCACTCGACGGCAAGCCGAAGCCGAAGCCAGTGCCCGTAGCCGAATTAACCAGAACCTAATTGGAATCGACCGATCCGACCGATAAGATTCCGTGATTAACCTTCATTTAATTTTCAAATTAACTCGAGACGACCGGTGACGAGTATTAATTTCACTGTCGGATGTACCGCGGTCGGTTTGTTTGAGCAGATGCGCGGGGGAGGAGCGGTCTTCGATCAAACACGGACTAGCTGCATAAAAGCTGACCCAGCTGGTGAAAAAAATCAATGGAACGGATGGGCCGATCGGACAGAAAATGTTGGAAAAATTGATGATGCGCTGCCATCTCTTTCATCCTCGTCGTTGACGGCGTTACGTGTTCGTACGGATGCTGGCAGAGAATTTAGAATTTAGGAATGGTGTCAGGTGTCACGGAAGAAATTCGAACGACGTGAAACTTGCTTTAAAATCTGGATGATATCGGTAGAGTGTGGATGGAACTCTGATCTGTTCGATTTTCAGAGATAAATTCTTATTATTTAGTGCCATAGTTCTTGCGTTACTTAATTAACTAGACTTACATCAAACATTTTTATTCGCTGCTCTGTGCATTGCGATCTAATAAAATTCACTACGAAAAACACAAAATTTCTAATACCATACAATCATTTCGATACCATAGAATATTCTCAAATTTGATACCGTCAAAGTTTCAATCCAATAAATCTAAACAGAATATCAGAAAAATGAAACTGAAACGAGTCGCTGAGATCCTAAATGTAATATCGTTTACAATTTCTAGTAATAATATCTATAGAGTTAATTTCCCCTTCATTATGTAAAATATGGATTACGACCGTCACAAATCTGTGACGCTAATGGCGAACGTGTCGAACAAAGTCCACTATCGTTCCCTAGAGACCGACGCTGTGTGCGTTATCATGCTCTTTGTTCTAATTTCTTTATTTTATTTATCTCATCGATTACTATCCCTGATTTTATACGATATTATATTTAAATTCATTGGAAAAAATATCGTATAAAACCAGGGATAGTATTCGATGAGATAAATAAAATAAAGGAATTAGAACAAAAAAGGCATGATAACTTTTTTTAACAGTACGTTTACAACAGTAGAAGGAGCAAGGGCTAAGTTTTCTAAAAATTCAGTTAAGTAATATTGCAAGCACAATTCTGCTGAACTACATACAGCACTGCTAACAGGAATCGGTCAATATCAAGTCTTTCGTAGACTGCCAAATTTCATAAGTCCTAGTTTCATTCAGAAGAGGGTTAGTTTCTACCGTTAAACGAAACGTACAGATTACAGCATTAGGATAAGTTTCCAAGACACTCAGAGATTCCCGTTCGCCGGGAGAAATAACAGCGTCGACGTTGGCCAATGAGAAACGGGCGATAGAACGGCGCCAGCCGATCCTCGATCTAACGGGTATCTACGAGCGAGGCGAATCAAGCAGACGGGATTATTGCCTGCGCGCGACGATCCGCGGTAACCGCCGGTGAAATGATTATGCTCGTCGCTTAGCATAAATTCCGCGGTTTTCCTTTGATAGCAACCTTTCCTTCGGCGACCCGTTCCCCTTTGTTCGTCTCGCCCGGTCACCGACACGCCGATATAACCGGCGCGATCGATTCTCAAAAGTTCTACATCCGCCGCGGAGCCCGTACAACGCGAACAAGATTTTATCGGGAACCGCTGACTGCGGGGGAATCGTTGATTACCGCTTTCAGTCGCGCTTCGCAACTTTCCGCGCGGCCAGTAATCGAGCGTGGAATTGAAAAATGCGCGGAGAGCCCCTTCGACGGATGGGAATTAAAACGTCGCGCGGTCGTTCGGAAGTTCGGTGAATGGATAATGACGCTGGAAACGGAACACTGGAGGATAAGTGCCTTCGGACTCTGCGCAGATCGTCTGGTGAGTTAGATAGTTGCTTTTATGGGACACAGAATGAAGATGGATTATTGTTTGCTTGCTTCTATGTCAGATCTCAGCGGATTTTCAACGTTTTGTTGCGTTTTAGAAGCTTCGGTTAGATCAGGACTGTTGCAGTAGATTAGTGCGACCATGTTCGGACAAACTAGTCATAAATGTCGTTTTAACCGTTTCAGTGCTGAGGAGCGCTATAACGCTCTTCAGTGTCAATTATAATTTTCTTACTATGTTCTTCAAGAAACAAATCGAAGTACATTTATTTGAATAAATGTTATTTTTTGATATTCTTTTGTAATAACACAATATTTGTGATCTCATTATATAAGGTCATTGACTTTGAATTTGGTTCTGCTTATCTATATTACAAGATTGATATCAGTAGATTCAAACAACCATAGCCAGACATCCTAAAGAATTCAATATTCATATTTCTGTGACAGTCCCACGTTAAATTCAGCCTAGATTTTCAATTCGTCTCGTTAACCCATTGACTGACAAGTAAATAACCACCAAAACTCCCATCGAAACAGTTCTCTTAAAAAAGCTAAAACTAAAGAGGCAATATTCTTCGTAGCGATTACTTCACTACATTCCTCATATCTCACGCAATCAATAAAACTTCATTCGATACGTCACCAAGAAAACAAATATTCAATATTACGTTAAAAATGGTATCACCCCTATTCGAGTGACGTAGCAGTCAAAGTGTTAATACGACTTCCCTGTAAGTAGTCTCAAACGACCATACACAGACAATTCTTCAACGACCAGCCTCAGCCCTAAACCGACGCTTGAAACTCCACGAAGAAAATCGGAAAATCTTCCCCAGTCATCCGGCACTCTTCCACCGGACCCTCCCCATTAATCCAACCCTCAGCCCGTAAATCCAATTTGTACGTACAAACGCAGCCGCATTATTAACCGGCGAACGACAGATAAAGATAACCGACGAGATTCCGTGCGACTCGGAGGGTGAGAACGAACGGTGGGGTCTCGAGGCCGACACAGCGGAAGATAGTCATCGCGCAGATATTAGCCCCGAAGGAAACACGCTGATGTCTGTGTCCCGTGGCCTCGGTTTTGATCGATTGTCACGGGCACGCTAGGCAACGCGGTCCTCGGGGCGTGCAGCGTGTTTTCGTGCCACGCCGGCTCTAATCGGTCGCGGCGTATTTATCGGTGCGCTCGTTATTGCGGAAAGGACGATTTGTCATTGGGCCCTGGTATTAATTGCACGCGGAAACCCCTCGAACGCCCGTGCACCCCTTTCGCGGAGATAACGCGGCCGAAAGGGGGCCGACGGAGTCGCCGTCAGACGCGGGGCAACCTGTTTGAATGGAAATTCGTCTGCGGAACGGGACCTCGAGCAACTTCCGAAAATTAATTGCCGCGACTTCCGGTACGCGTGTACCGTACCTCGCGCGGCCGGCTTTGACCTCTTTCATGATTACCGGCGCGAGGCTGGGGGATGTTTTACAAACTGCGCGGTCCTGGACAACCCTCGCGGAGATTCCCCTCGTGTCCTTTTAATACTTCCATTACGCGTTACATGAACTCGAGCGGCGCAATTTTTTCGTGTAAATTTCGACTCTTCTCTCTGTAAGGGTATGAATAATGATACTGTAGGCGTTTAGATACAAAAAACCTTTCGCGAGCCTATCCTAGCAGCAATAAAGCCCAGGACCCATTGCTTGTCGTTTTTAGTTAATCCGTGGATTGAGCCCAAGGTAGGCAATAGCTACGAATTTTATGTCTGCATGTAATTTAAAGTCGAGGCGATCCTTGGGGCTGTTGCTATGGTCGTTAGAAATTTCCGAGTCTCCGGCTAACGGAACCAACCGACAGACCGCTGGCGGGGAAGTAGGGTTTTTCCAATTTTTGGGAGAAACCAATCCTAACCACGCGTCCGTCACTCCCCCGCCACCTGACTACGGACTCAGTTTTTATTTTAGTAGCCCTACACTGGGATGCTTGATGCGAATTCTGTTGATTGGAGGGAGATTTATATCTGATACCTTGCCGCGTCACTTTAATGTAGGAGATATGTTTTATATAAACAGAATTCTTTTCCTATTGGATCCGTGACATCGCCGAGAGAGCAATCCCCATGGAAAGCTATGAGTCCCCCGTTTTGCATCACGAAAGAAATAACTCGCGGCGTATAGCATTTTGATGAGCGCTGATTCAACATTCAACGCGGTAAATTGTTCCCATTCGGTAGTTATTTTTTCCATTCCGTGCCGCGGAAGGACTGGTATTCATTTGAAAACATTGCCGCCGCGGAACGATGATGATTACAATCTCTCGCCGGCGCGAATGACTGTTCCATGAACTTCCCGCGCGGCGCGCTCGGCAGGGGGGAATTTCGTTGCCGCGGTAACGACGCCCGGGTAAAGAACGGAAGTTTCGGCCGGGCTATTTTTTCCTCCTCTTTTTTTCGGTTAAAAACCCGGCCGGATCTTTATTGGCGTTGGTTAACGAAACGTCAACCGGGGGACGGTTACGAGGCTGGGAATTTTTACGCGGTGCCTTTACGGTGTAACTTTTCATATCGGCTATAAAAGCGATGGTTGTATAAAATATGACCGCGCCGGGACGAAATTTTTACCGCGGCGAGCCTCTGACGCGCTGCGAAAGCCTCGTGCTTCCTTTTTTTTACAGGGGAAGTGTCTCGGATTGATTCGTCGGAGGGAATCGCGTAGGTGTTGTGTACGCGTTTTCTATTTCGAAATGTTATAGGGAAACCCGTACGTCGCACGCCGACTTAACTTTGCGCGAACTGATTGGAAGTGGACTGTATAAATGTTTACTTCAGTGAAAATAAATTGCTGTTTATTTTTGGGAGTTCAGTAATACTCGTCAGCGGCGAGAGTCTACAACGACGTCTATATACTCCGTCTCGTGTGTCTAGTTCAATTTTTTCTTATATCTCGTCTCCGTACCTTGCGTGGGTTTTTATAAACCTTTGGGTAGGCGTGTGCAAAATTGGAAGCTTCCTGATCTGTAGCCTTCCAGATAGTGGGCGCGTACAAACAAAAATTCGTTCGAGTGGGACTCAACCAGTGATCCTGGAGGGGTTGCCGATTGCAGCCCCCGGGTGACCCACGCAAGGGTCCCGAGGGTTCTTGGCACTGACCATAGCGAGTAATAAAACCAAGGATCGCCTCGACTTCTGGCAAACGGATGTAAAGTAAAAGTTACGGTAAATCTACAAAACTGGCAAAACGTGCCGAAGCAACTACGACTAAATTATTGAAGTAACGGTTCCTTGGGCTTTTATTTCTGCTATGGTAAAAATACCCAGGGCTCTGATGTGCCTCGCAGAAGGTTTCGTCGATAGCCCTCCTAAAGCGATTTAGCGACGCGACAGTAGGCTTACCACTTTGTCTCCCAGATTCCGCACTCGGCAGGGCAGATACGCTGTCTGGCCGACGAACGCGCTGACGTTCGAAGCGGTCGGCTCGAACACGGGCAATTCGTTGGCGTTCGAGTCATTGTCGGCGTCGTTCGGGCGACGCTGCTTCGATATCTCGCGGACCTGCACTGGCGCTGCGAACAGAAAGGAATTTTTAAAGGATTATTCGAGTTATACGTTCATGAAAGTGATTTGCTCTGTGGAACAAAGGGTGACTACGATGTAGGTATTATAAAATGAAATAAGCTAATTGCTGCCGCTGCGCTTTAACGTCGGAGTTTTATAGGAGTTTCAAAGTGGAGTTAATTACTCCGGTATGCGGATCGTACGTGTATTTTCGGATTAAAGATCGACGCGTTGTTTGCCATAGTTTCGAATTGAACGAGATATTTCCCCGGGCGAGACGTTTGAGTAAGAACACCGGTGGATTAATGAGTTCGGGAATCGAGTGAATATTATATTCCCTGATAAGGTGTTAATGACCGTGCGCGTTTAACATTCGAGTGTTCCGCGAGCGAGAAAATGTTCTGCTGCAATAATTATGCGGGAACAATAAAATCGCGAGAGCCCGGCGCGGAACGCGGCGGAATTTTTCGCGAGCCACGCCCACCGGGCGCGGGGATTAATTTTATACAGACAGTCGGATCCGGATAATTGTGCGAAATTCCCTGCCAAAAAAAAGGAAAACACCTGACGGCATTATTATTCCTGAATGGGAAGCAACTTTTCAAAAGCCCTACGAACAATTGGGCATTTCACGCGGAAATCAGGAACACGATAATTGCATGAAATTCCGGGAATTGTGGCGATTTCCCGGGAACTGCGGCTCATTAACTTTATAGACAAAATTCGGGGATGGAAGAGGTGCGTGGCAGTGCACGTAGGCGGGCCTGCCCTGAAAATTTACATTATTCTTGCGCGAAATGATTTACTCGGGACAAGTAGCGAGGAATTATTCAATTTACACCGAATTTCATTAATTGACCGTGCATTATAGACGAAGAATGTACAATATAATAATGATACAATCAACGAACTTCCCTATTACAGAAACAGAAGCGCGAATGGAAGTTGCATGATCTATTTTAGATTGCAGAGCTAACCTAGACCTAACCCATTACACATTTAACTCGTCCAGGGTTAACTTGCTTCTAATTCGAATCCATATTAAACCCAACCCAGACCTGAATTGGATCTAATCTAGGTCTGAATTGAATCTAATCTCAGTCCGAATTGAATCTAACTAAAATGGCAATGCAGCCACCTATAAATCCCATGGTGTCTATCAATACTTTTCCTCGAAACTCTAAGCATCATAATGGATTAAAATGATCCAAGGAAAATAAAACGAGGGAAACAATCTCATAGCTTAACCAGCAAACGAGAAAATGTCCGACGTGCAACCGACGTAAGTTCCCAAAAATGGGGGCGCGTTAGTAACCGGAAATCCGATTCCGCGTTATAACGGACGATCCCGATTCCCGCGGAAACGATATCGCGGGGAACGTCGCGGCAGACAATCGCGCGAGAGCGGTTCCGCGGGAATGATCAATTCCGCGCGAAGATCCGGGCCACGGATAATGGCGGCGCGGAACCAAGGATCCGGAAGCTCGTCGCGTCTCGGGGGAACCTGCCGGTAATTTTTCAAGAGCGCTCGCGCGGCCGCAGTGCGAGGAACCGTTCCCGCGCGAGGGGGAGGCTCGTAATTTCTCAGTTTCTAACTCAATTGCGCGGAAGCACGTCGTCAAGAACCGCACGCGTTTCCATCTTTGGGCGAAACTTGTACGCAAATTCTGGACAGGAAGCTCGGCAAGTCTCCCAGCAACTCTCGCGAGGGAACGGGGTAAGCTTCGCTGCTTTCTGTCTGGTTAAGGGCCTCGCAACCGCCTCTGCCTTGGTCTGCAACCAGATACCAGAAACCGAATGCATTACACAGCGGCAAGCAGTAAACTACTACCGGTTCAGCAAACTCGGCTCATTTCTTAAGCGAATACTTGATTATGCGGCTCTTTTCCTCCGCGGCTTTCTCCGTTTCACCGCTCGCCTCGTTTCGCTTCCTGCTTCTTCGTTTCGTCTTTGTTCTATATAGTTTTATTCTTCTTCGCTCTCTTGGCTTTCGTCCTTTCGAGCTTTTCCTTCGTTTTTCCTCTGTTCTTTCATTTCTTTTTTTTGCTTTGTGTTCGGTTAATTTCGTCCTCTTTCTCTTTCTGTTTTTCTGTTAGTTTGTGCTTAGCTTTCTCTTTCCGCTCGTGCTTCTCTACTTTCTCTCTCCCTCTGTTTTGCACTTCAGTCCCTTTTTCTCTTGTCTATCGTCCCCCCTATCTTTCTCTTTCCCCAAATGAAAATTCTTCGACGAAGTGCACACCTCGTCGTTATGCATGCCGTACCGAGCAGTATTTTTCGCGAAAGCCCGTTGCCCCCGTTAATCTTGTAATTTCTACGAATACTCTTAGAAGACGTTCTCCTTATCTTTCTCCCTTTCGCGAGCAATTGGAATTTTCTTGGCGAGTCGTCTTGCAGCCCTTCCAAATCTCATTTCACTGTTCCTCTCTTAGAGAAGCTTACTATTTGCCAGTAAAAAGGAATCTTACGTTCAGGGGAATATTTTTTAATACTTTATCATCTGACACGATAGTCTTTGTCATTTAATTCCAGCTGGTTATCATTTTTAAATGTATTTAACCTTCGGATAGTCATAAAGGGTGCAGCAAACATTCGACTTCTGAATGCACTTCTATTTCTAGTACGCAATTTTAGCAAGGAAACATATTTTATGAGAAACGCGTCAAAGGAATAATATAAAAATATCTTAAAAGTCAAAAGCTTGAATCTAACCATCATTTAACTCTTTGCACTCGACAATATTTTACATTACAAATACTCATTACTTTCTGACGAAATATTCACGATATTTTTCGCAACTAACACGATTGCTTATATTATATAAATTAAGGAACAGAATTATTTTATTTCGATATTTTATGCGTTGATACGTTACATATGGTTCAATATTGAATTTAAAATTGTATAAGTTTGCTGCGTCGAATCAGGTGGCGACTGAAAGGCGCCTCTCGAGTGCTAAGGGTTAACCCTTTGTGGACGGAGAATCATTAAATTACACAAAGCTGGCATGATGCTAAATTATACATAGAGTGCTCAAACAATAGAAAGAAAATAAACTATACACTAGTCTCTTGCTATTCGACTACTTAAATCGTTCGTTTGCAACTGAATATTCCAAATATGAGCATTTCATCTCGCCAAAATGTCAAAGGGTTAAAAAATCCGTGCACTTTATAAGCACACATATAACCGAAATATCCGGTGGCACGGAATGCGTTAAATATCCGCTCGTCCCACGCGTTGCGCCCTCTTTCAGCTTCGTTACTCCTCGCTTGATATCTGGACACGTGTAACGTAATCTCTTCGGCTTCCCCCGTATACGGTCGGCCGGTCGAATAGCCTTGCGGCCTCGTTAGTATACCTTCGAACAGTCTCTCCATCATCATCAATCATCATCAGACCGGGTGGCGATATCCATTGGCGTTTGACAGGGATTGATCCGGCAGGAAAGTTGATATAATAAAACCGTACTTCTCTGCGTGTCTGTTAACACACCACGCGGGACCTTTGAAAGAGGTGAACCCATTGTTTCTGCAATCGGTGTCTTCAAAATGCTCGAATATCTTCGTAAGCCAAGCCGAGAGAATCTCAATAATGTTGCAAGCATTTCCTAATACATCTTAGTTAACGCCAAAAGAATATTACTGCACTCAAATTTCAATTAACCAGTTAGCCCTTTGAACTCGGAAGATTTTCACTGGAAATATTCAACATTTTCCGATGAGACGACATTGTTTGAAACTATTTTAACGGTAATTCACAGATAAATTAAGGAACGAAGTTATTTAAATATTTCACATAGCAACGCAAACTTTCATTTAAAATACTAAATATTCAACTTCATAGTTTTATTTTACTGAGAGTCACCTCTAGAGTGCAAAGGGTTAACTATTTGACGAGTATACAGGTCATCTTGAAATTCTTAATAGTGCTAACTTTTTCAACGATGGATTATTTATTTTTTGAGACAAACATGTAATTATTCTTCGTTTCGCTATATTTTAAGTGCATTTGGCCTGCGTTTTACGAGTGTACACTTCATTATTCGATTTCATTGCGCAGAAGGAGAGATTTTTCAAACTAAATTCCACACTTAACTGGTTAACAGATTGACTACCAAATAAACACTCACCAAAAACAATTTTCATAACAAAACAGAAACCAAGAGGTCAAAATTCCTCATAACGATCGCCCTACTGTTCTTTCTATATTTAATACATCTAACAAAATTCAGTTCATTCGATGCGTCAGCAAGAAAATTAATTTTTAAATTGACAGAGAAAATGTCACCCGAATTCGAGCGACATGGCAGGTAAAGTGTCAAACGTCAAACCGATAGAAAACTGTAGTCTATTTTCGAATCGAATTGATCCGATCGAAGCGCTTTTTAACTTTCGGAATTAAAGCTTGTAGTTTGCACTCCAAGTGAAAAGTAGTTGGATTTAAAAGTAACCTTTTCCGAGCGTAGAGTTTTAGGTACTCGGAACCTTCAGCAGACGAAGCTAAATTATACATTGAGTGTATAACGAATATAACGAATTCAATCATTTTTTTCGTAATATACTGTTCCAAATATGGAAACTCGATCTAATAATTCACTGGAAAAAGAGAAAAATTCTAAGCATATGTTATGCCTATATTTCCTTTCAAGTATAATAGTTGATTACAGATGAATAATATTTACTTTGAATTCGAATGTACTGAGTAATACATATATTTGTAGAATCACGTTGAAAATCTTCACCATGAGTCTCGTAGAACAAGGGGTTAACCCTTGGCCTATGATTTCTTTCTCAACTCTGATCGATACGGCTACTTTGTCATTAATAATTTACTGGAAAAAGAGAAAAATTTTTAGCATATGTTGTGCCTATATTTCCTTTCAAGTATAATAGTTGATTACAGAGGAATAATACTTTGAATTCAAATGTACTAAGTAATACATATATTTGTTGAATCATGTTGAAAATCTTCACTACGAGCCTCACTCGTTATTGTAGGGCAAAGGGTT